CAATTGATTTCAATTGTATTGATTTTAATTGCAATTGATTTCAATTGAATTGATTTTAATTGCAATTAAAATCAATCCCGACCGGTTGGGGGTTCGATCGGGGGCCCGTTGGGGGGCCAGTTGGATGCCCGACTGGGGGGCCGGTTTGGGGTCCGTCTGGGGGCCAGTTGGATGCCCGGCTGGGGGGCCGGTTTGGGGCCCGTCTGGGGGGCCGGTTGGGAGTCCGGTTGGGGCCCGGTTGGAGGGCTGGATGGGGGCCTCCCAACCCACCCCCAAACCACCCGTCAACCCACCCACACCCTACCACATAGATAAACGCGATTAACGATTGATCAATCGTTAATTGCTGTTTCGCAATTGACAATTAATTAATTGTCAATCTTTAATTGCCAGAACAATTAAATTTTGCCCAACACTGAGTATAGCAATATTTGCATATCATTATCTCTTTCGGAGAATATAGGCATGTCCAAGAAAGGATAATTTGCTATCTTCTAGCTTGATCAGGTACCTCGTCAATTTTTATAACGCCTTTGGAGACTTCGTTTTGAACACTTAACAGTCGGCCGGTGAACGCCTTGCTGCACCACGAGATAAAAGGTTTTTACCCGTATGATAAATTAGGTAGCCGGCCTGAAGGTGCCCAGACGGGCGTCTACCTCGGTTCAGGATGCTGTGTGATAGGGGAGAATCTGTGCGTGTATCGCGAAACTGCTGGGCGCTATTCTTGCGTGGACGGTAATTGGAAGATCTTTGAAAAATTATTGGACGCTTCTATACATACATAAATTAACTATACCGTAACCGGAAATCACACTAATAATAGAATCACTATTTGTATTTTCTTATTTCTCTCTAAGACATTGCTCACATTGTCGCGGAACCGAACATCCGAACATCACCGAATTCGCGAGATTGCGTCGTGAAGCTGTAGTGTAGTAGGTGTTTAGCTGTTTAGATCTTTTACATACACAAAGATGGTGAACTTGGATACATATTGTTTTTTTTCGCTTATTTATGAAGCAAAAGAAAAAGAGGAAAAGCGATAATTGTGTTCGGGATTTATGGAAGAAACGAAAGTTTTTTGGCCAATATGAAATAATTTGCAAAGATTTGTGTCCTCTATCTGTTTCATAGACGCTTGACTCTGTACTCCGCTCCCTTCGCGCCATTTCCCGCGGTTTCACAGACCCCTACGCCTACGATAGCTGCGAGAATTCTCGAGAATGCGCGAAAAAAAAAAAAGGTTGATCCAGAACACACCCGACTTGTTTTTTATTTTGGCTCGTATCTAGTTTTTACGTTACATAATTGGCATAATGTCCATTATGTTACGTACAATTTCGTTACAAAATTACTCTTTCATTTCGCGGAACGGTCCGCGGCAATGTAAATGGAGTTTAAAAGATACGGCAGCATCTTTTGTTTACACAATTTGAATTTGAATTGAATTCTTGTGTCTGATTTATTTTACTAAGACGATTGTACCTAATCAATAATAAGATTAATAAGTCATGCCGCTGCTGAGATTTCATGAATAGTACGAATGACGAATATTAAGTGTATTTCGAATCTCATGGGAGCGTTCGAATCGTGATTTTGATTTTATTCGTTGTTTGGAAGTAGAACATCTTAATGAGTATAAATATGTATAATGAACTTTGCCTGTAAATGCCAATTATAGTTAAACTTCGGAACTTTATGTTTATTTACCTTGTCCTTTGGAATCAACCTGGTTGATTTCTTCATAAACGTAAAGTCGGCTTTTTCTCCCAAATTCACCAAATGCTTTGTAACTTCTGTAGTTGACATTGCTTTAGTTAACATACCCTCTAATGTCTGTGGGTCTTTCTCTAGTAAACCAGGGAACATTATTGCTAGTGGCTTCATTTGAGGCCCATCTTCACACTCTACCTAAATGAAAAATCACTTTATTATGAGTTCGATTAGGTACTGTTAATTATAAAAGTAGTTTAATAGCAATAGAGCCCTTTATGAGAGTTCGCCCATGGAAGTACTGTCACCTTACCTATTTTTGCCGTCAAGCAGTTACGTGAGCATTACTGCGTTTCGGTTTTGAAGGGTAAGGATGCTGGTGAAATTACAGGCACATATGGGACTTGTCAACTTAAGTCTCAGGGTGAAGAGCGCAGTGTCAGTGACACTCAGATCTTTGTGAATTGTGATTTACAGCACTATACAAGTGGCACTGCAACTGCTATGGACAGACGTGTCGCTTACCACCAGGCGCACGATTTGTTCGTCCTGTCACTTAGTATTATAAAAAAAAATCCAGATTAGGGTGTCATTTAAATAAGACCATAGGCAACTTCGGATCTCTAAAAATGTGGAAGGCAAATGGAATAGACGTCCGTATTTAAGGCCACGCGAAAGTGTGACATACTGTGCCAGGACCGCTGTGTATGAAATTCTGTTATCTACTGAGGGACGAGTTGGCATACGTGGTCTATGTGTCATGTTAATTGTAATACTTTTAATAAATGTGTATAATATTATATTACAAGTTGTAACACGGCTTCTTCGTCCCCAATATTTGATGAGCTAGATGGCACGGGATTAGGGGGTATTGGACTTTGCAAGATATCCACCCACTCTGAATCTTTGGCCAATAAAGGACATGTACCCTCTGGTGAATCATCTCGGGCAATTTCTCTGCTGTTATTGTTATTTATTCTCTGTAATTCAAAGTAATTTGTTATTACATTGTATGGTGTGAAGCACTTTGCAAAAGCTACTATGTAAACAGTACTGGTGGATCAGGATTGGTTGTCTGGTGAGTTTGCTGCTTAGGCCTTTTGTATTTCTTATATAAATCACTATTCATTTTGGGGCCACCATGATATTGGTTGTTTCTAAAACCTAAAACAACAAGCCTACTGTCAGCAAACTGTCAATGATTGACAAAAATTTGACAAATGATGTTCCAGATTTTTCAGTCAATGAGATTTAAGGATGTGTTCAAGAAAAGAAAAAGAATTGCTTTTTAATAATTTTATCACAAGTTAGTGGAACGAAAACTTTATCTCCAATATATAACTTAAAATTAACAGGTCCTTATTGTAAAGTCTAATTTTTTTGAGACCAATATTTACACATTTGCACAAGTCTAACATGGACTCTGGTCAATTAAATGTTGCTGTTGTTCTATAGTAAATTTATGAGTAGTCATCATCCTCTTCATCATCATTTTTAGGTCCAGTAGGAGGAGGTACATATGGCTGTGGAGTGCCTTCTGCACTCATTGTCTGTTGCTGCAGAAGCAGCCATTGCTGCTGCTCTTGTTTTGCTTGTTCCTCTCGTGCCTAAAAGTTAGGTACATTTAATTTTATGTTATTCAGTAGTTAATTTCTTTGCACAAAATAAATTACTTAACATTGGAGACACTTCTGGTGCGGACTCAACAGGATTATACACAGATTTTACCTACATATTTGTGGTGGCGAAGGTAAATTATACAAGCAAAAAACTACCTTATTATTATTAACATACTGATTACAAAAAATTTAAGGTATTATAAACTTTTTCTACCTAATCAATTTATTGTTTTTTTTACTTTTGATTTATTTCTTAGTGTTGATCATTATTGCACATGCCAGCCCCATTGGAAATAATACAATAAGAAAACACTTGATATAATGAAAACAGATAAATCAAAATATTACCTAACCAAACATGTAAACAAAATCCTTAACAAGTAGTGCCTTGTTGGTTCAGCCAAAACAGATTGAAACCACCCAACATTAAATGTACCAAAATCAACCTGCGCAAATAACCGCTCACGCAATACATGCAGCCGTAGAAGCATACCACACCTAGAGGTGCCGGTGATGATTTTATACCGATTTATCGGATATCGAAGTTATAACAGGTAAAAGAACTAATATTAATTGCTATTTCGGTAACTACTCTAGCAAACCATAAAGTTTTTAATGCCTGGGTTTTTAATTTAAAAAAATAAACAACTTCTCAAAATACATCATGACAATCGTGTGTGTTATTGTTTGGGCTGGTGATTTCAGTGTTTATTTATTGAATACATACCGTAAGTAGCGTTTTTAAAGTTTACCCTGAATATAAATGTTTATAAACTATACTTTAAGGAGTAATTTCATGGTAAACGTTAGAACCACTGAAACTGAATATTATAATATTTATCCAAGTACACCAAAAATTTCATTAGTGCTTTTTAAGTGCAGGATTTGCGGTGTATTACTGCATTTTATTTGAGATGTTTTTGTTGGTAGTACGGAGGGAATTTATTTAGCAATGCAGAATAATAATTTTTATTTATAAATGCTTGTATTTAAACTGAATGCTTTTTTTAATTTGCGAAACTAAATAGCCGCCATTTTGCGGTAGGAGGAGCGCATCACGTGAGCGGATAACAGCATCCTGATAAATTTCATATGAATATACACTCCATGAGCAAATGATACATGCTCTGGAATTCCTTCACAATTTCGAGAATTGGCTCTCCTCATCAAATATAATTTTTTTTTTGATGGAACTACCCAATTTATGTATAACAAGCAGTATGTATGACAAATTTAAGTTACCTTTGCAAATAGTTCTTGTTGTTGCCTAAGAAGCTCTTCCTCGGGTATTCCAAGATTTTCAAGACGAGTGCTTTGTCTACGACGTTTGGCGGCCACAGCTTTGCAATCTTTCAGTACTGCATCTGCCTCTATTGTGTAGTCACTGAACCCCAATCTGTCAAGAGCTGTACCAAAATAAATGAAATAAATTTGTTATAATAACCTACACTATAGTTGTACAATTAATTGATGACAGATTTTTTTAAAAGAAGGAATGTGTAGTGAATATGTCCTACCACAACTTTAAGAAATTATTACAAAACTTATTACCCGTGAGCACGTGTTCTGCATTAATCGTCTTCTTATTACTTTGGTTACAAACTTCATTGGCCTCTGAGCTCAGTAAGTGTATGAATTCCGTGCAACAGTTAAGAATTAATTCTCTAGACTCGAATGCGACTCTAACAGATGGCACTAATTCTTTGATCATTTTATTGATACTGGCTCTGGGTAAGGTTAGTTCGTCTTCTTCTGATGGCGGAGGGCACAATTCTCTTTCTGGGCTTCCCATAATTGTAATTTTATATGCAATTAATTTAAAAATTCATTAACAAACAAATGCAAGACTGAGCAAACAAGATCAAAAATATGACAGACACAAACCAAATGACAGACAATTTTTTTAATACTTTCGTCTAAAAAGGAGAGCGGACTGCTTAGTGCTGCCTCTTGCAAAAAATTCTCTACGTGTATTTGTGATATTTTTTTCAATCTTCTATTTTTCCATTTTGACGTTGACTGGTGTCAAAAGTGGAAGTTACTGGGCGAAAACAATGGAGCAAACAATAAAATGGTGGCGGCGATGGCGTGCTGTAATTCTGTAATGCTGGGTAATTCCAGGAAATTAAATTTTTAGGAAAAACTTCCATTATTTAAATTTTGTTTTCGTTCAGTAACTCCACTTTTAACAGGTGTCAACGTCAAATATGGAAAAATATCCGGAAAAATATGCTTTGAAAAATAATTAAGTGCTTTTTCCATTCTTCCATGACTATAAAATCCTATAAAATAAAAAACGAAGAAGTATGGTCTATTTCGGATACTTTTTGAACGAAAAGAACAAAAAAAAAAAACTACACAAACTATTATGACTAGTGCTTAAATTCTCTTTGTATTATGAGACACTTCCACATTTCTAGGTTATAGCGCTATTTTTGCCGTTATTTCCAGTATCTATAGTAAATTAATTAGTTGCATTGTTTACAAAATGGTGTTATATTTTACGAGCGACGTGGTTTCGCCACCCGTTACGTTGTTTATGGGCGCTGATAAACATGAAAGTAAGTATCGTCGTGGTATACCGATTTTGTGTATTTACGGTACCATATCAGCGATATATTTGTATTAAATTGTAAACCATTTATAATTTTTGTTACAGATGAAGATTTGATAAAATGGGGTTGGCCCGAGGATGTTTGGTTTCACGTGGATAAAGTGTCATCCGCTCACGTATATTTGCGCCTTGCACCAGTGAGTTCAGATTATTAATAGAACAACTGTAACTATTCAGATAATTTTTGATTTGACGTTTAATTTAAAAGTACATTCTTAATTTGTGATACAATGTTATTACAGGGTCAAACTATAGATGATATACCAAATTCGGTGTTAGATGACGCTTGCCAACTAGTCAAAGCAAACTCTATCATGGGTAACAAAATGAATGACATTGATATAGTTTACACCATGTGGGCTAATTTGAAGAAAACAGCAAGCATGGAGGTGGGTTTCAGAAAATGTGCTAGTTGTGATTCTCAGTACATTTACAAATATAATGTACATATCATTGGTATTTTGTAGAAAGGGCGACATAAGGATAATTTAAACATTTTCAGGGAGCATATTTTAGTTTTTCATTGTGAAAAACTAAAATATGCTCCCTTAAATACTTTAAAAATTTAAGTCCTGTTTTAAATTGAATTTTAAAACTTAAACTTCATTAAAACTGAAATTGAATTTTAAAACAGGATGTAAGTATTTTAAAACAGTTGTTAAAACCTAAAACAGAATTTTTACGAAATGGTGCTCTCGCCCTTTCTACAAAACACTGATGATATACATACTGTAGAATTGTGTCTAGTAATCTGTATGTAAAACAGAAAGCCAAAAATATCCAAAAAACTACATGAACAACTTTTAAGTGTTTAACGACCATAACACTTGGTTTCCAGGTTGGCCAAGTAGCATTCCATAAAGACAAAGATGTTAGAAAAGTCAGGGTGGCAAAAAGAAACAATGAAATTATGAACAGATTGAACAAAACTAAAAAAGAAGCTTTTCCAGACTTAAGACAGGAAAGGGAATCACGAGATAGGGAAGAAAGGGAAGATAAAAAGAAAGTCTTAAGAGACAAGAAAGACAAAGAAAAGGAGGAAGAAAAAAGAAAGAAAGAAGAAGCAGAGTTAAGAAGTTACTCCACACTCATGAAGAAAGAGAACATGACTACAAATTATGATGGGAATGATTCTGATGATTTTATGTGAAAGAAGAGATATTTTTGTTTACTTTTTCATTGGTTATTTATTTGTAAATTAAATTAATCTTACTACAGTAATGTCATTACTTTTGGCATACAGTTATTCCCACTGAAGTTAATGCATCTGTCACCCACTTAGGACAAATGCCAGTAGGGTACAATTCATTGACAAATCTAGTTACAAACTGCGGGAAAGTATCATTTTCTATATTCTCTCTCATTGTTCTCATTAGGCGCATCTGTAAAAATAAACATTTACATACTAAATTAAATAAAAAAAGCCAATTATATAACCTATAATGTAATTTCATTGTCAACTTTACAAATAGATTCTTTGGCCTATTTACTGTTTAAGTAGAAAAATGCATATTAATAACGTACTTGAAAAGCAATATTGTGTACAGAAATAAGATGACAAGCTACAGTCTCTACTGTAACAATGCAATGCAAGTAAGCTCTTGTATAGGTTGTGCATGTGGAGCATGTACAATCTTTGTCAATAGGGTTAAGATCCGTCTCATATTTCTTCTGTTTCAAATTCAGCTGTCCTGTGTTCACTAGAGCACAGCCAAATCTCTGAAAATAAATTTTCAAGTTTTACAAAATACTGTTTCATTAAAATTTCATCATGTCACGCTTTGGATTTTTAGCTTGTTGATATATGGGGTTCACTCCTTAATGTCCAAATCCTATAATGTTTACTCATTATTTTATGTTTAAATTAATTTAACATGAATAGCAATTGACACATGTTGATTTTTTTGAATTTAGATGAAAATAAACCAACTCACTGCAGTTCTTGTGGGAAAGACACAGTCAAACATGTCAACTCCTAATGCTACACAAACTACAAGGTCTATTGCCATTCCAACTCCCATCAGGTATCTAGGTCTGTTATTATCCAAGATCTCTGTGCCTAGACTGACCATTGGCCAGAAATCATCTTTCGCTTCTCCTCCACTGAAATGTGACAGGTTCTATTTTATTTAATAATGGAAGGATTGAAATGAAAAGCAGTTGCAGTGCCATTCAGAGCTTGAAATTGCAAAGATCTCAGTTAACTGCCACTGCGCCTGTCAGACAAGTTCTGTAATTTGTAGATGGTCCAGAATATGTAATTTTTGTTACAAGTATACACTAAAAAAGTAAAACTAATAGAGAAATCTTAATAAATATGTGCATAATGTCAACTCTCATTTCCTGTTTCCACAATTTAGGTCTTAAATTCAGTAATATGTATTTTTTATTATGACAACTTCTAAAGTAAAATACCTTAGTCCTCCAATAGCAAATCCATTAACTTCTTTTGTCATATGGTCCTTTGCACTTTGAGTTCTAAGTTCTTTATTTAATAATCCCTGAACAATAGGAAATATGCTTTGCTCATTAGGCCTTTTGTGGGCTTTTAAACAGCGGTCTAGCCAGCGACTGGTCCGTTCTGTGGCTTCTTTTATTCGGTCATAGTCTTGGAATGTGGTTTGAACGACGTCATCTAATTGCATTATTATATCTGCCCCTGAAATATTATAATTTTGGTCAATGGATCGGCTGTCTGTTTCATGGGTACTTGGTAGTTGGTGAAATGAGGTGGTGTCTGCAACTCGACGTCAAGGTGCCTATTTTGCATGTGGTGTAACAATTCTTTATGAATTGTGTAACAATTTTGATAATAAAAAAGTTTTCAAACTAAACATGCTACGCAAGGATCAATGGAGGAAATTAAAAGGAAAAACATTCATCTACCTTTGTCAAGGAACAGTGAAAATATAGTTAGTACATCAAGTGTAGGTAATTCTTACCTATACAATTTTGAATCTCAATGGATTTTTCTGGAGTTAACATAATTTCCGAATTATCATAAGGTGACTTAAATTTGACACCCTCTTCTGTGATCTCAGCCAGTTTCAAAAGGGATACCATTTGGAATCCCCCTGAGTCTGTAAGCAGTGCTCTGTTCCATCCCATGAACTTATGAAGTCCACCCACTTTCTTCAACACTTCTGTACCAGGTCGATTGCCAAGATGGTATGTGTTTCCTAGTATAATTTCACAGTCTAGCTTTTCAAGCTGCTCAGGTAACAATCCTTTCATTGTACCCTGAAAAATGTAATTTTTTTTAAATACTAAATGGCACTATAAAGAATACTATAAGCCAATGACAAAGTAAAATGAGAAATGGGCTGGAGGAAAAAAAATGATCAGAGAGTTCAGATTGAAAGGAATTAACATATTTATGGAATATTATAATTGAAAATAAATACACAAATTAGAATATTATAATTGAAAATAGGAGTACATTTTTATGTAATTGACAATAATAATAAAGAAATGTAATAAATAATACATATAAGTAAGAACGTAAAGATGTAGGTATATGGTTGTTGTGTTGATATGCATGGTAGGTATTGTATTTAAGGTTATGTTATCTTCGAACTGAATGGATAATTTACATGGTCAGGTAAAGGTAAAAATAATCAATTAGTACTGTACCTGTGTGCCCACGGGCATAAATACTGGAGTTTTTATTTCATAATGCGGTAATTTCATGAGACCCGCTCGTGCTCTTGTTACATTACATTCCGCTTGCACGTTGAACGAAAGAGCTACTGATTTAAAACTCATTTTTATATAAATGATACCTATATATTTCTATGTATATTTTATGTGTAAATAAAATATATCAATTGGATTTTTTCATTGACTTACAATTATAGATTTTTTGATTTTTTTTCGCTTTAGTACTGTTTTTTCCATTGGAACAGGCAAAGGCACTAATGCGCCATACAGCCAAGACTTAGGGTCGTATTCATATGAAATCATACTCAAGTCAAGACTTGAGCAGACTTGAGTATAATTTCAAGCACTGGAAATACGACCCTAACGGCAAGGACTTGAGTATGATTTTCAGTGCTTTAAATCATACTCAAGTCCTGACTTGAGCATTGAGTAGAGTTCTGGAATACCACCCTGAGAGTAATTTCTTTTTATACCTGTAGTAGACAAACTCTAATGTTTTTATTTTTAAAACAGGATGTATTGTATTTGCAAACTAGAAAATATGACCATTATACATTTGAATGAGAATTTTATTAGCAATAGAAAAAACAAAGTGTACTGGACCAAAAGCTAAATCAAGCACAATAAAATGAATTGGCACACTGTCACATAAATTCGTTTACTTGAGATTCTTTCATTTTGAAGATTGGCTGTAATGCAAAGTACCCAGAGCCTTAAAAACCAATAAAAAAACAGTTTGACGTTCTGAATTCAGAATGTCAATGTCAGAAAATTTTAATAACCTCTTCATCGCGAAATAAAATTAACTCTTAACTCGCGGTTTGCGTATTCCATGAAGTTGTAAATGAAATTTTTCATTGTAGATTGTCTATAAATTTGAATTTACTTGTGTTTCCTGCTAAGTTTAAAAGACTTAAGGTGTATATATCCGTGAGATTATCAGAATTACGGTTTCATGTCACGGTCTCGCAATAGCGTCACATAATGTAAGTAGATTTTTAAGTTTTTCTTTCCTTTCAATTGGGTAATATTGTGTAACACCCCTGGAGTCTATAATTTTTTATTTTTTTCTGAAGATTTGAAAATAAAGGCATGGAAAATAAAATCATGCGTGAGAAGTGCTTTTTGGCTTAGTTTCCACCACGTGTGACTACGGAGTCGCGATACGTGGTTCGATTCTGTGCAATCTTATTTATTTATTAGTATTTTTTTGTATTTTCAAGTCTTTTTATAAATATATTATACCTAAAAACTGTACTAGTCTGGTTTTTATTTGCATAATTGAATTATTAATCGAACATCTTTAAAAACCAAGATGCTAATTCGAGCAATGGTGGCGCCACTTGCTATACATTTTATGTCATTCGCCATATTATAGAAGCAGTTCTAAAAATAGTCAATTGAATGTTTAATTTTGTTTATGTTATCAATGTTGGTGCATACAAGATATAATTATATGAATGTAGTGGAATTGGTATTGCACAATTTTCACATATTTTACATTTTGTAAAATAAATGTTTTGTTAAAAAAGAATTACATTATTATTATTAGTAAATGTAAATTTGATTTTATGTTATTTTAATTTTTGTACAGATTAATTAAATTTTTCTGTTTGTAGATAATAATAGGCTTGATTTATAAAAAAAATACTTCCATAATATGTATGTATAATAAGGATTTGTTGACAAACTAAAATATATTTTAGTATTGGCATTGTTTAAGATTTGGGACCAGTGATGACTACACTCCAATGAATCCTAAAAATTCAACAGGGAGTAAAAGGGCCAAAAAAGGTCTTAAAATCGAAGCTAAAAATGGAGCAGAAATATTTGTACTGCCACCACTGCTATTACAAAAACTAGGCATTAATTTGGCCAATATTGTAATTCCTGAAGAAGCATCATCTAACAATACAGTTGGAAATGGTAATGAACATTTGTAGTGTTGTATCTTTCTATTTGTATTTTACTCTATGGATTTGATGTTTTATACTTAATTATTTGTATTTCTATGAAAGTGATAATATTACATGTAATAAGAGTAAAGTACAAAAGGAAGCTTTTAACATAGAATAGCAACAATGTCATTTCACCAATTTTCTACACCCTTCACATTGTGACTAAAGTCTTTTTTATTTTTATTTTCTATTTTTGATATTGTATTTCAGACACAACAGATATACCAAACTGTTCCAAAAATATTGACCAACTTAAACGAAATAGATCAATTACTTGCGCTCAAAATGAATTAGACATTGGCTCGAGTATTCTCCAAACTGCAAGTTTGATGAAAAAATCTGTGTTCTTAAGCCCAACTTTCACTCCTGATGTGGCTAACATGCCAGGTGAGCTAGAAATAGCATGTGCTGTTAATTATCAAATGACAAATTCTAATTGCAAAGAAAATGTGGATAGCAATTCTATGAAGATTGAACGTAATATTACAGAAGCTGATTTGGCTGTTACAAATTATCATCATAAGTCTGAAAAGGATCTCCAGCATATCAAGAATTTGGGCAAGAAAAATTGTAATAATGTAGAAGATGGTATTGATATGCTTATTGATAACAGTAAACAAGAAATGAATACTAAGATTATCGAACCAGAGGCTCCATCAGAAGCTCAAAATACAGAAAATGTTGTTATGAATACATTAGACATCATTGAAACTATACCAACAAATGATCACTCGGATGAGGTTTATTTATCTGATTTGCATAGCAATAACAATCCAGAACTTGCTTGGCTTGCCCTTGCAGAAAATTCAGTTACACAAGCAAATATTGATTTAAACAATAAAATAAGTATTATATCAGAACAGATTCTTAACCCATCTCATTTTAAAGAGCTCAAATATTTGCATAACGGTAATATACCTAATTTTTTTCCTATCCCCATAGATTCTTTGATTGCTACAAATAAACTTGCTGATGGTGATAATAATCAAAATACTTTAGCTTGTTTTCCCGCAAACGCGCAAAATTGTGAATCTATTAGTAAAGAAATGGACAGCACACTTCAGAATAAGTTCCAAAACACTGAAACCATTCTGATGTTTGATGATAAAGGAGTTATAATAAATAATGAAAACTGTAATGGAAATGTTGATGTTGATTTTCCTGTTCATATAGTTGGTAACGAATCTCTCACATTAGACAAAGAATACACTGTCACTGAAGAAATACTTGGCAAAGTCGAGAATCCTGGAGAGTTAAACTCCGATAGCAATTTTGATGTTTGTGTGGAATTTAATGTGTCAGATATAGAAAAGCATTTAGAAGAGAATGAGGAAATATTAGAAAGTTTCGCAAATGAAATTACCGGCAGTGATGCAAATGCAATCATTGAAAATCTTGAAAATAGTGAAGAGATCTCTTCTAAAAAGCCACATGAAGTGACTATAATTACGGATATGGCTTGTATAGAATTTGAGTCTCATCCCACAACTAATATTTCCCATCTAAAATCTAATCAAAACCAGTCAAATGAGAAAGAAATAGTTGTGGATAAGTTTGCTTCTTCTAATGACTATTTTAGTATTAATGATAATAATAGCTCAGCAACTTTGAATGATCCCAGTCACGCAACCGAAAATGTAAGTACCACACATGGATCAGAGTCAATAAATGGAAACGTCCTAAAAGATGATGCTGTTACCAAGGCAATTAACGCACTTAAACGCGCTGTATATAGTACACCGAAGGAGTCCAAAAACAAATTCTCAATTGATTGTAATGCAGGTAGAAATTCTAAAAATTATGGTAAATCTGAGGGAAATTTTGCATTATCGGTCAGTATCAGTAAAATAGAATCAAATAAAAGAAATACAAATGAAACAAATGCTGTTCAAATATCGAAATATAGTGACCAGTTCAAAAACAACTTAGAAAACGAGATCAGAGCATCAGAAAAAAGTAGTAAAAAAGAAACTAATTTAATTGGTAAAGAACACAACGCGAAAGATAGCAACAATTCCATACACATTCCATATGCTTCAGATAAGGTTGAAGAAATTGCTATGTTATTACGCCAAATTACTCGTCGTCGATCAGAGTCGGTAAAACCTATATGTCAAAGTATTGATCATAAATGGTTACATGCGAAATGTGAGAAAACATATAAGCCTAGATCGAAGATGCATATTCAAGGAGTGGAGAAACCTGGCGGTTCTGGATCAGTTGACGATAACATCAATTTGAATAAAATAAGAATCAAAACTTATAAGAAATTTATTAAACCAAAACAAACACCCGAATGTGCCAACAAAAGGATAGTGATTGAAGATAAAATCGATAATGACTTACCTTATACAGTTGAAAGTTCAAAATACGATCAAGAACGTGTTGATTTTTGTATTTGTAAAGATTTCGGAAGCTTAACTTGTTACGACGATGCAAGATTGTACGAACATATACATTTCTTAGACCATAAGAAGGTACACTGTGATTCTCAATTTCTGTTTAGCATATACAATGAGCCGGAAATCGCAAAAAGTGAAAAAATTGTTGACAAAGAGATTGAACAAGAAAGCTCTCCAACTTGCGCGTTGAATATATGCTGGAACAACTTAGTTAACAACGATTTTACAGAGGTAGAAAATCCAGATCGTATTGATAAAATATATACTGAAGTAAATAAAATAAGCGATTTTTCAACTAACATTCATTGGAACGCTATAATTGAGCAAAACATACCAGATAAAATGATTATTAAATCGAGCCAAAGTTCTAAACATAGTTCTGAAGAAATTGATGCGCCATTAAGAAACGAGATTAAATTTAGTGAACGAATTCCTGTTTGTATTCCTACTTGTGAAGCTGGAAGTAACATTCAGGTCCAAATAATTAAGTCGGAAGCAAAGACTGTATTGGTTCAGGTGGAACATTTAAGTGAAGTTACTACAAGGGAAAACCCAGTTGGCACAGAAGCACATAGTCATTGTATTCTTAAGAATTTTGAAACGTGTCGATTAACAGAAAACGTTGATATAAATCGTGCTAGTTGTAGCAAGGGTGAAAATGAAGACTATAGTTTAAGATTTGTAAAGGTAAGGAAAAGTAATAAACGATAATTTAAAGAAATTTTAGGCAATGAAGATCTAAACATATGTTGTTTGTTGTAGCAATCCTCACCAATGGTACTAGAAACTGGCGCATCAACTAGTCGGATGTCTAATGAAATCATGGCTGAAGTTTGCGAACCTGAAGCTGCTATTAAAAAAATCCATGTCGAAGGAAATTTGCAAAATAAAAATAACAAAAAAGGAAAGGTATGACAATAAATTCACTCCACTTTGCCTGCAAAAATCCATCAATCAACAAATCAATATGGATTACCATTTTGTGATAATAGCAATTGTTGATGTGATTCTTATTATTTCAGAAACGGAGAAAATCTTCAACTGGCGTAACTAATGAACCAGGCGACTCTCTCAGTGAAGATGAACAACCAAGAGTTAAAAAAAGCGCAAAATGCGGAGTTTGTCAAGAATTATTGACTGAAGAACAATGGGAAGAACATTGTGACACATCTCATTGCTTCATTGCCTGGAGGGCAGGGGAAACCATTGTAAGTATCATAAAGCTTTTTGTCGATTTGTGCTCTACACACAATAACACGTAGCGGTATTAAACGTGATACAGCCAAGAGCTCATTTTCACTTTATAATTAAGACATATGTATGTCTGTTGAATGTTCAACACTAAGCCATTCTTATATAACAATTATTCAAAGTGTTCAGCTTATTTATAACTGTATACATGAATACATATTATTTCAGGATCTACAAGACCAAAATCTGATTAAAAAATTACAAATAAAATTAAAAACTAATAGTTTGACGTGTCCTTTTTGTGACTTTATAAACCGAAGAGTCAAAAAATTCTTGGCTCATGTCGCTGACTGTGTGAACCGTAAGGTAAGAAAACTTAATTGGCGTAGTTAATAGTTATCCTTCTAGAATTTATTGTAATATCTTGAAATATAATTTCAGGCACATGATAACTCTTCAGTAGACTCTCCAAATACAAAACGACGAAGTAACAAAGAGGAAACAACGGGATCAGATCAAATAGAAGAAAATTTAGTAACATGCCAAGTGTGCCATCAAAATATCCGTGATTCAGATTGGATTAGACATATAGCACGGGAACATGACTATTTAGCTTGGAAAGAAGGTGACCCTTCATTGGTAAGTATCTATTTTCATATCAAAATTATTGGACGGACCGCGCTATGGCGCTTTTCACATGGTGAGAGTTGACGCAGAGACATACGGCAACACCACGTTACAATGGCCTAAACGTCCATATTAAAGTGTAATAACTTCCTGAAGGGAGCTATTATTTTTAGCTATAGGGTTATTATTTCTCTGCCTATGGAAGTTAAAGACACATGTATTTTTTGCAGGATTTAGAAGATGAGAAATTTATACAAAAACACTTGAATATTATAGTGCAACAGATTGGAATATTATCATGTTCTAAATGTGATTTTAGACATAAAAATGTGAAATCGTATCTGGAGCATGTAGACACATGTGAAGGATCTGAGGAAAGTTTAGTAAGTAAGATATTATTATTAATATTAGTATTAGAATTTGAGCTTATAATATATATTTACATATTTTATAAGCACAAATTCTTGGTCATCAAGCACCTAGTTATTATTAGAAAGGGACCTTTGCCTATTGCATTAAAACCCAAACACTTACTTGCGCTTAGTTATTTATCGTATTGGCTTTTATTTATCCTGAAATGGTGTTTTAGAGCACTTATGGTGTTGAAAATAAACAAGAAATGAAACAAGATAATAACAAAAGGAGAAGGAAACCAAAAGTTATATCTCTTGTTTGTGCAGTATGTTCTTGCAATGTCAAAGAGTCAGAATGGATTGAACATATAGCCAAGGAACATAATTATTTAGCATGGAAAGAAGGAGAAGAACCTTTAGTGAGTAATTCTCAGTTTTACTTTATTTTTATTGTAACAAAATTTACGTAATTAGGGTGCGTACAGATACCGCGAAAGCACTGCATATGCGCTGTGCGTGCGCTGCGGTTATTTATCAGAAGTCCGAAATGACGTTTTCCTGAAATAACGTTTGCATGAATTTTCATAACCTCGAAAGTAATTTTGACAGGAAAATATTTTTCTTTTAAACCTAACTTAACCTAACCTAACCAAACTTAATCGTGTCTTTGTGATAAACATCCGACATACCCTGAAAGAACTACAGTTTCGTTATAATTCGGTTTTCGGGGTAATGAAAATTGGAACAAACGTTATTTCGGAAAAAATAAATTCGAGTTTGTTGTTAGGTTACCGTGCGCTGCACGTACGCTGCGCGCACGCTACACGTGTACAATTAAGTGAACCTCTGCAATGACGTGCGCGAGTTGCACTACATAATGCACGTGTGTAGTTCGCGAGCCTTTCACAAACAGGCGCATTCGCCACATTTCTTCGCACCCTTAAGGCATTTGCATTGAACGTACTAGAAAAAAGTGGTCGGCAAATAAAAAACTTTACTACTGTTTAATTTTAGGATGTCGCCAATGAAGACGCTGTACGCCAGTATTTGAGTGACATTTTGAAGGAAAATGGGAGCTTAATTTGTCATAAATGTGGTTACTCGCGTAAAAATGTTAAGACTTTCTATAACCATACAAAAAAATGTGTTATGCAAATGGTAAGGATCAGCAGTAATATTGACTTATATGTATATCATTTATATAAATAAGTATATTACACAGGCATGTTCCTGTAGAGACGTAGCTTTTGTCATATAGCATATTGATGCTTCACTTTCTCAAATTCGAATTTTATAAAGAGTGATTATTCAAGAGATGGCAAAACTTTCTATTCATTTTAAATTTTTTATCGAGAGTGTTAATTTGGATGCATTACTTTAAGAATAGGTAAAAGCAGTGTGTAAATATAAAGGAAATGTGATGAGAAATCAGCCTGCAAAATTTGTACATACAATCCATTTGTCGCATTTTAGTAACTTTGTGCTTTAAGATACGAGTTTGAAAAAGTAAGGCGACGATTTAGATGTTAGTGTTTTTAATTTGATTTGATTTGAAAATTGCAGACATTTAATAAAAGCTTTAAAAGATTAGACACCGATAAATTTGAAGTTAGCTCTACACCGGAATCCGACAACAGGGACATTAGTACTGTGAACAATAGTAATCCAAGAAACAATGGACTAAACAGTAGCGCATTTGAAGACACGATAGAACAGTGTGGTGTGTGCAAAGAGAAAGTAAATTCAAACAAATGGTTAGATCACATTGAGCAGAAGCATGAATATTTAGCTTGGAAAGAAGGGCAAAAACCATTAGTGAGTAAATAATAAATACGATAAAATTGCGTATCGATACAATATAATGTACCTCTTTTCAATTATATGATAATGGTTTATTATCTCAACACATGGAGCAGATCTTACTCTAAAATAAAGAATATAGTAAGATTATTTACTCGCTGCAGACACGGCCCTAAATTATTATAGGAGCGGAACATCGATTTGCGCTCTCTATCTCACTTACGTACGTCTCTATCTCACTTAGGTACGGGCAGGTCTTTTGTGTACGCGTAAGACTGCAATACTGCACGTTTTATTTTGTTTAGACATGGCAATAACGACTGTTTATGAATGATGATTTATAGCCGAGTTTGCAGGGATTAAATTAACTTGCAATAATAAGATTCAATGTTGTAACCTTGTGAGAGACTTCAGGAACATGTGAGACTACTAAATCTGTATTACAGCTCGCTCGACCCTCACCCTCTCAGACTAGTCTTAATTAATCAATCAATGTTTATTTTTCTGGATTGTTTTATGTAAATTAATGGTGTCTTATTTACTTGTAGAACTTAAATAACGAAGAAGAAGTGTACAATCATTTGTATTGTATAGTGAAAGAAATATGTAGACTAAAATGTTCAAAATGCGGATTAGAAAGAAAATATGTGAAAACATATTTACAACACATCAAAACTTGCAGCGCTGAAAGTGAAGGAATGAATGCTTCGTCTAATGGTGCGTAACTTTAAATTATTTTTTAAACTATCTTGTAATGATTGATGAATATTATGACCTTTTTTCTACGGTTCCCAGGTGTGGAATCCTCATGATGTGTATTCTGCAGGAATAAAATGTATCCAAAAGAGATTTTTACGTTTCCTGCAATATTGCGCAGGTATATTTTTGCCAGACTAAGTGTCGCAAATTTCATTTTCTGCCATTATACAAACTGAGAGAAATGGCTGATTTGACTTACCCAACTAACATAGCAAACGACCCTGTTGATTACCCTGAGCTCTTGACTAAATAGAACTACGCACACGCAAGGTTGCACTGACAAATCCTACCACCCTTTATGTTCCTAGGGTTAAGACAAATTGTAGGCAAAATGCTTAACTCCTTAGTTAATAGATATGGTGAGGTGGACTTGTTCAACACCAGTACAAGTAAACTAAAACGCTTACTCAGTGATATGTTTTTCTCTTCAAATATGTAGCTACTATAAATGTTTAACGTTTTTAATTTCGTTATTTATATTTCTTATGTTCTTTTTTCTTTAAGTCGGCAACTTACTTTATAGTTTCTTTCTATCACTATAAAATAATCATCTGTGGAAATTTTTAATTAGCCCTTAGTATACACGCACTGGCCTGTCAGACGTGTATTATACTTAACATTAGGTATATTATACCTAGCTGTAAGTTTTCCAAAAATAATGAAAATAAAAATTAAATCTTACAATTGTTGTAGTAATTGCTGCGTTCACGCCACATTATCAATTGTTGTAAAAGGCATTAATGTTCTATTTCTATTTTGCAAAAGAGTAGCATAGCATGATATGTAAAACAGTTACGGAATCCAAGACATAACGTGTAATAAGTACGTCAAAAAACTAGGAAATATGCATTATGCAATTTTTCGGATCCTTGCATTCCTTACGACTTGATAATATACTGTCCACACACGTCACAAAACTCGGTTTAATATTTGTACTCGCAACAATGACTTTTTTAAATATTCATCTTGTAATAGTATATAATTACGCTCTCAGATAATTTATCACAAAGATACTAATATCAAAGTAATAGACTAATCTACTAATATCAAATAAAATCAAGACAGTTAAAAATGTTCCAAAACCTAAAAACAAGACTATATATCAAATACATTAATATTAGGTAATAGCAATCTATTAGTTATCAATCAGTTTTACGGGTACTGATTTCATGTCACACTTAATACAAAGATCGAACCCAAAGAAAAATGCGAAACCAGGGCGACCGCTCTACCAACTGAGCTACAGATCGAGTCAGTAGACCTTACGAATTCTTCGATGTGTTTGTTACAGATCTTTAGTTTTAAAGTCTTTTTGCTGTAGATGTGAGAAATATATGAAAGTAGTTTCTTCACTCAATTAGGTACTTTTATAGCTACCAGAGGTTGACAAGAGATGTCGCTTTATAAATTGCAATATTGATTGTAATGAATCTGTTTTACTACCGATGTATTTATTAATACGAAGATCGAATTTTTTACAGAATTGATTGCCTGCGGAATTTGTTCAGAAATGATTGCTGCCAACAAATGGAAGCATCACGCAATGAGCAAACATTATAATGTTGCTTGGAGAGCGGGAGAAACGCCATTAGTAAGTATAGACATCTTTCAGAGTTCTTCAGACACTCCTCCAACATAAACTACGTTTTAATCGCTAGCGTAAAATAATTGATCTCTTTCTTAACTTTTCAGGATTTGAACAACCCTTTATTAGCTGAGAAGCTTATGAAAGAGTACAGAGAGCAAAATAAATTAGTTTGCAAAATCTGTAGAGCTAGTAGAGCGAGCTGTCTTGGGTTCTATGCACATATATTGACTTGCGGAAAGAGTGATGAGGTAAATACTTGTAATATGAAAATGCACATAAATGTAAAAAACAGTCCAACAGTCGATTGACCATTTAGTACAGATTACTCGAGGACGTTAGCTGATATATCGATCTGGGCTGATAGAGTTGTGGTAAACCTTTGTATGCCCATAGTAAGTGTGCACGTTAAAATGTTACTTGTGTTTATATCGCGCGGTGGAAAAATATGCCAGAAATTTATTTTTCACCTCACTATCTCAGAAACGGTATCTTTATCATTAGCAATCTGCGCGCAATAGCGTTTTGTGTACGCTAGCATGGAAAAGGTTTTCGAAATTTGAACTTGACAATGGACTGTGGTGCACCTAACTTTTTCTTTCGATGAAAAAAAAAAGATAATGACACGTTCAACTACGCGATTTGTCGTAAATTACTTACTTATGTAATATAAATATGTATAAATCCGTTGGTAATGTCAGCAATAATAATTTATTTTTATTATTGTTGACATTAAATTGACAATAATAAGTAATTGTGTTTATTAAATTATTTTAATTCGTCGAAGAACAAATAATTTCAATAATCACACAAAATTTTAAGTACAAGCAAGAATAAAAATTGATGAGGTGCAAATTCAGAACGTTCCAAAGATAATTTTTTTTCTTTTGATTAAATAAAAAGTGATGTTTTGTAGTTCAACTGTTGTGTGAATAGTTCTTTCATCTACCATTTTCCTCGCTTTAGTGAGGTGAAAATTTGAGTGTTTTGCTCGGCAGCAAAGTGGTTTTGCGTCTCGTGGCTTGAAACCCTCGCTATGCTCAGGAATCTATTTTCGAAGCTTACCTTCCTTCGCTTGCTCAGGCTTCAATACAAGCACTCGCATCAAACAACAACTTTGTAGCCTTGCATAAGAAATAATTATTGTATGGAGGGATTGAAATAAAACAAAATAGTAGCAATAGAGCTTCTTGTGAAAGAGTTCCTCCAGGGAAGTACTGCCACCTTACCTATTTCTGCCGCCAAGCAGTAATGTGAGCATTACTGCGTTCCAGTTTTGAAAGATAAGGGTGCTAGTTAAATTACGGGCACATGGGACTTGTCACCTTATGTCTCAGTGTGACGGGCGTAATGGCAGTGCCCCTCAGATCTTTGCGATTTAAAGACACTTGATTTCTTAAAAAAATTGCACTATACTGTGTTAGCAATAATAATTAAGTTGTAGTTATCTGTGATTTATTAATTTTTATATTGACACACACAGGAAACCGAGCAATTTAAATCCACATGCGAAATCTGCAGTAAGCCATATCTAACAATCTACCACCGCCAGCATATGACCGCGCACAGCGCGCAAGACCTCATCCGTGAACAAAGAAAGAACGCTGAGTTGAAAAAGGAGGCTCTTAAAAATGCGGAACCGGAAGTGGAGCCATCATCAGGGCCAAGACGTGCGGCTATGAAGTAAGAATTTTTTTAAGAATTTGATATTTTTATACTATTTAGGTTATTACTATGTAGGTCAATGACTATTTGTTATAAACTTATGTCTGGAGATTTAGTTGCCATACTATAAGTAATCATAATGATTGTTATAATGATTGTTTTCTTTGCAGAGCGAGATCGGTTATTGAAAACTACAAAGCGAACATAGTAAGTTGTCTTTTTATTTAAATCCTGTTGCAAAATGAGCTAGTACTCGACGGGACATTTACATTGTGCGTATAATAAATAATAAAACGAGATAACCATACCAATTACCTGCCCTCAAATTCGGAAATTCTCTGCCCTATGAATGCCAAAGCAAAGGTATTCACACTCACAACACTCAGTCCAGAACCTATTTCGAACGGTTCGTTTCTCATAGTGGTCTTACCGGGTATTGAATCTGGGACTTCCTCATCCAGCGCCCAACAGAGAGAGGACTTTTATTTCTCTAGGTATGTTTAAATAAAATATTTTGTATTACAGGGTGCTTATAGCTGCATGTCGTGCGGATATGACGCTGGCAATAAATCTGAATTAGGCGCTCACCAATGTTTGAACAGTGACCCTTTTAGCGATTCTGAGGAGTCTGCCAGACCAGGGTCTGACGGGGATTCTTCCGAAAGTGAAGTTGACAGTAATATTTCGGAACACGAGCAGAACCAAGTTCGTAAGAGGCGGTCTAACAAAACTGTTCGTAAGTATTTACAACATCGACTATATAACCAGATTTACAATGTCCAGTGTCTTATCTTGTTTACACGGGGTCAACTGCCGCCTTCGGCAGACTACTTCAAATTGCCGAAGGAGGCGTAGTCGACTAGCTGTTTACACTGAGCCAATCACCGCCTCTTTGGCAAGTGAATTCGGCTGACGAAGACTGCGCAGTCGACGTGCTGTTTACAGTGGGTCGACTAACACTTTTTCGACAAAGGCCGTTTCTGTCTGCTGCTCTAAAGTTTTAAATATATCTACTAACAAAGAGTAGCGAGACCTTGTATATTATACGTGTCAGTCACTCCCCGTACCGCCGAGGTACATAATAATGCTTTTCTCAAACTATGCGATGAAATAAAAGGCTAAAGAATGAAGGAGAATGTACAATAGATAATGCAAAACAAGTTTTCCATAACAAAATTTGCTTTTTGTTTTAAATTAAACAGTACACACCATTATTGTATTTTCGCTCCTCTAACTAGAACTCACTTTCGCAAAGAAAATATAAAAAATAACTTCAAAGTACTTTCGTTTATTTTACCGCCTTTTTAAATATATAGTGCAAGTATATTCGTGTTCCTTAATTACCTTTTTTTTTAATTTATTGCTGGCCATGGAAACAAAGTCCTTCAGCCGAAAACATAAACTTTTAATTATATTTCAGTAAATATGGCCACCACAAAGAGGATAGGCAATTTGAGGCGGCGTGCTTGGATTGACTCGGGATTCCTTAGAACGGGCCGATACGGGTATTTTAGTTCGAGATTCGTATAATTTCGCGTTTTAATCTTCGATTAAGGCACAATAGCACTATCCTATTCCACTTTAAACTAGATTACACAAAATAATTGAAAGTCAAAATAAAAACGACACTTTTCCCTCCAAAAGGCCCAGAGCGAATCCCCCTTAATTACCTGCGTAATAAGTGATACCATAGACAATATTTTATTAATTCTCGCAATTACGAGCAGTTGTCTGTATGATAGTTGTTTTTAAGTGTGTTTACATTGGTCTTTGTTTGTAGATATGTTTAAAAGATTAGAGCAGCAGACAGAAATGAATTCATATACTCGTACTTATTTTGCCGGCCTATAGTTGTAGACTCCATGAATGGCCAACGTTGTGGGTTCTTTTTTTTTTAAAGTAATGCAAACATTTCTGAGCATGTTTGAGAAAATGATATTTATTTTTAGCTATTCGAACGCAGAAATTACCATTTAGTGTGAAGCATCCTACTACGTACGTAGCAGAAAATAGTCACGCATAGTAAGTAAATCTTGAATTGTTTTTTTTTTTACTTCATTTTATTGTTACTTTACAAGTTCAGTACACAAGTTTATACAATTATTTTCAGTTTTAACTTTCACTTCACTGACGACAATTTGTTTCCTGATCTGTACAACCTTCGGCTTGAACCTGTGTCGGAAATGGAATTGTTGAACTATATGCCGCCGTTAGAAGAATCTTGCAAAGTCAGGTTTGGAAGTGATTGGGAAACGTACAAGAGATTTGAAGCTAAACATAATTCGGGTATTTAATTTTTATACATAAACATTTTATTAAAGTATTCATATATTCATTTTATTAAAGGTTCAGCGTGTACTGATCATTGTAGTCATTGACAGGGCAACTTCTTATGAGTCATGTGTAAAACAACTAATAAAGTTCCTTATAGGATATTTCTGTTGTAATGGTTGGCACAAGGGTATTTCACAGAGCTTATGCATTGATAAGCAAAATGAAGCGCGTCCTATGAACACAATTTTTTGTTCGGTACGGGCGTAGTGATCGAGATTGTTCATACTTCGCACAAAGCCAGAAGGGCGGGAGAATAATGAATATTGTTGATTACATCAAAAGGGCGAAAGAGATATTCGGCTCGAGCTAAAGAGGCAGTGGTGAACTGGGTTTAAAGGACCGGTTACACTTACATAGTGTTGCTTAAAGTTGTGCACCGTGATTAAAGTTGTGCAAGCCAGGTAAATATTTGTACGTACGGGCGAGTGAGCCCCGTACAAACAGGCTTGGGGTATCCCTTTCCATTACACAACTTTATATCCGTCGAATCTCGATCGATAGAAGTACCATAAGAGTGGTGTCACATTTTTTAATGCTGACAATATTTTTTAGGGTACAGCTTGTTCACGGGTGCATGTATACAAGGCATATCGTGGGTTCCGTCAATATCGGATGACACTCCCGGCGGTCAATTTTTGTCCATTGCATGCCACAATGGCGTTGATACGCCTCGTTTGGAAGTGGACGAGACACTGCCTAGTCCTGGACTTATACAGATTTGGAGTTTTCGAAAATTTAAATCGTAAGTGTTCGACTTCTTTCATTAAACGAAAATACAATAACGTATTAT